GGTGGTTACAATCGTCTGAACGATTCTCAGGTGTGCAAGCTTCCTTCGGCCTCATATTATTTCAAGTGCAATAATGAAGGACTACAGTCTTTGGATAATATGCTTCGGAATGAACTGTTTTCGTTTCGTACCACTGCACTGTTTTCTGTGAATCGTTCGCATTCGTATCTGATCTTAGTCCAGCATCAGAAAATTATAAAGATTTTCTTCGAATGCCACGGATTTTAAGAGTTCACTAGAAGGGCTTTGAAATGATTTCACTTGCACCTTTTCAATTCACAGAATTTATCTGTGAACATTACAGAAACATTCCTCTCAATTCGGCAACTACAGAGAGTTTGCAACAACAACAGCGGTGAGCGTTGTTCCCTCAATACCGCCACAGTACAATCCGCCGAACTCATCCTCAAGTCTGTTCCGTCCGCAGTATAGCGGAGATTCCCAACGGGTCATTCAAAGTGCTTCAGATTCTCTCGTTGATACATCATCATCCTCGTCGTTAAGATTCTCGAAGCCAAAATCCATCTATGAAGTTAACGAAAAGAAAAGGTAAAACTCGATCGATCCTGCTTAATGGATTCAATTTATTATTAACTTTTTGTGATATTGTGATGAAACGAAAGCCTTTATAAAGCAAGATTTAATATTGGTTTTTAAGAATGTTTTATTCAATATTCAAGGAAAAGTTTTCTTGGAACTAGTGCAAATAAATTTTGACGAAATTGAAGAAAATATGCGAATGTCAGTATGCTTAGGATTTTGTAAGGTTTTGTTTTCAATTTTCAGACTAAACACCAAACCCGAAAAGGCTTGTTTCGCCTTTCTGAAATTTGGTGACTGTCATTATGGAGATAGTTGTAAATTTTCGCATGATCCAACGTTGTTGAATCAATCGCAAAAGGTCATTATGGATGGCACACGTGATCCTGTGTCACAGGATGCGAATAATATGGGTCATGATGTTATTTATTCTAGTCAAGGTATGCAGTTGAATTGATGGTTTTTATTTCTTTGAAGCTGTCATCGAAGCACTCTGTTGGTAAAAAGTTTTTTATGCATTAAATGAACTGTTCACCGTTGGAAGGCTAGAATTTCATGTAGTTTTTCTTGAAAAATGTCAGTTAAAGATTAAATGTAAGAATGCGGCTAATGTTTTGTTTTTTTAGTGGAGGGTACAGGTACAACTTGTCGTCAGTTGGAAAAGAGGTTACTGCAAATCCAGAAAGAGTTGACGATGCTTGAAGAAGAAAGTAAAAAGGTGCGTTGAAATCGTTCATTTGACGATTGAATCGTTTGCAGATTACCCCAAAAAGAAATGCAAATATGATTTTATATAGACACGAACCACTAAGAGTTTTTCCAGATTATGTCTTCAGTTTGTAAAATATCGTTTGTCGTTTACCGCATAATCACTGATTGAAAGATTTATTTGCATTATAAATTCTTTGGTTTTTTCAGCCAAAATCTTCAGTCGTCATACCGAAACGTTCTCAAACGTTATTTGCATCAACGATTGGCTCTGATGTGGCCATCAAGAAGCAACGATCATCGTTCAATATCGGTGATGATTTCGTGGTTCTGGTCGGAAATTCGCGGAATGAATCGACTACACCTCACCAACGATTACAACACCAATATGATGGTTATTTGATCATAACGATTTTATCATTACGGCAAATCTGAAACACTTTTGCTTCATTCAAAGCATTCTCCATGCCGAAGTAATAGTGCATGGAATAGAATATATTCTGGTTAGGTTAGTTAGTGGATGCTCTCTTATGATTTGAGTATTTTACGATACGATGGAAAGTGAATATCTGGATTAGAAATTGAATGATTAAATCAGAAAGCGACAATTAAGTTTGTTTTTAGATGCAACACATCAAAAAGCTGCTGCCGTTGTGAGTCGTCACAGTAGTCGTGGGAGTGGAGCACGTCCAGTATCAGAATCGCCACGTGAACTCCTCCGTTCCAGCGGTACCCTTCCAAGAGGTCTGGTTTGGAAATATTGTTCCATGTTCAGGATTATTTCTGTAAAGAATATGTGTGCGTGACTGGATAAATGGCACACAGTCTTCGTGTATTTCACGATCAGTCTGAATTATTCTATCACATTGATGTTCCCCTCAATGTATTGTACACTTAAGTAAATGTTATTAGAAAGTTTTTGAATTCATTACTGCCATTTTTATCGAGTTGATTGTTTATCCACTGCCAACTGAAATTCTTTATTAGCTGATTTTAATCATATTCTATCAGATAATTCATCTGACATGGTAAATTTTATTTGGAAGTGATGTTGCAGAAACTCATTATCATGCTGAAGATCGATTGGGCTCAGTGAGCAAGCGTTATAGTGGTGGTTCGACGAGCCCGTGCAGAGGAGATACGCAACTGAGGCGAAGTCGAGGAAACAGAAATGGGAATCTGAAACAGAGGATATCACCTGAATGGAAAACAGACAACTGTGACAGAGAGTCAAGTGTAAGAATTGGCACGGAGGAACCACTCCACTTCGACGTGATCTCAAGCAGTGATGATGATGACGGCGATTGTGAGCTGAATCTTGATGGTGGACATAAGGGTATTTTTGTTTGATTTCGGGATTTTAATAACTTAATTACTTTTGTTGATTCCGGATTACTTATTGAATCTAGGTTTGTTTTGTTTGAAGCACTTTTTGGTGTCTTCGTATGACAGTTTGACTAAGGTAAATTTGGTCGAATTGCCTCAAAAAGCACACATTATGACCGTTCAAGCTGAACAATGAACGTTTGTTAGTATGAAGTGAACTTTTGGACGAAGAATAACATTACTGAATCTATAATTATGTGTTGATTGCATTATAGTATTGCGTTTGATAATTATCTTTGATAGTTTATTGGGGAAATGAGAATTGCATATTGGGTTTTTTTCAGAATCGAAATCGAAGCGTTCTGAATTGTC